AATGTGAATTTAAAAACATTCCTATGTAAAGTTCTATCATGAGACAAGTTCTGCTGAGAAATTCAGAAACGGTCCATCAAATTCTTCTTTGTCAGCTTGATTTAATGAGACCACCAGAAAAGGTAGTAAGTAGACTATCCACCTGCATAAGCTCAGTGGCGGCGCTGCACATGTGGATATTCACAAGCTTCAAAAAGATGTTGGGTGGTGCACATATGGGAGAAAAAAATCTATGAAGTACCGACCTTTTAATCTTGAAGTTCAGGAAAAATGAAATTTTTGAAGCAGGGTATGGTCAATACAGGGAGGGAGGGAAGGTTATAAAGAGATCACATTTTATGAGAGTCTATAAACTACTGAATGGTTAACATGTCTCTTCTACACTGAAATCTGGTGAAGATGCTCATCCACCAGCCTTCAGAACTTCACTGGCTTTTCAGCTATTATATTAATACAAGACTTTGTAAACTGCTGATTGCAAAGTATTAGTATTGAAATTAGTAAACAATAATAAAAATGTCACGTAGAGAAGTAAAAATTTGCCGAAGCAAACGCTGAAGCAAATGACAGAAAGATTGTTTAGGCACGCACCTGATAAATGCCAAGGAGATTACGTAGTCTGTGTTGACAGTGATGGTCCAATCACAGTCCCTGCTGTGGGGATATGGGTGAGGGAAGTTTGGTGAAAGAATAAAGCCTGAAGATCCTGTTAAATTGCCTCCACAGGGTGCTTTAAACAAACAAAGAAAACCCATTAAGTGATTAATAAAATTTATTAGCTATCCATATTTGTGAAAAATAATTTTCTAAAAAAGTTTAGGTTTTGTATAGACCTGACTTTTTATAGCATTCGAGGCTTGAATATTGCATTGTCTTTCAAGAAAGACCATTAAAATATTAAATACATACAGAGTATATAGATATATTGAATTTAGCTCCTTTACTAGTTTAAAAGGCATGAAAAAAATTACATATATACTTACCTCCCTTTCTATTACTAGTTTTTTGTTTGTTCTCATGTACAAGAAAAGCATTGAGAACAGGGGTAAAGATGATTTCTCCATGTTTAAAAAATATATATATCTGAAGGTTACCAGAAAAGTAAGAAACAAAACAAAGCAAAACAAAACATCAAATAATATGTTGAATGATAGGATATGAGATATTTGGGTCATTTTCATCCTCCCTGGTACCTTTTTAAAAAAAATGTATTTATGGAGGAAGAGACTTTGCTATAGTTAATGGGTAAAAACAGATACTTATCTGAGAACCTACAGCACATTACAATAAAATACTCTTACGTTGAGTGTGAGGCTATTCCTAAATTCTAGTTAGTTGCCTAACTTGCTAATAAAAATGGAAAGTTATTACAATTATGTCAGCTCCAAACAAAGGCTTCTACAATGTTCCAATTAAAAGGCTCAACAAATTGTGAGTGAAATTCAGAGAATAGATTCTTTAGGGAATTATTATTGAGGTCTGTTAAACACAGTTTATCTTCAGAAAAAAAATATATTACACAGAGTTGGCAGCTTCAGAAAAATAGAGAAATTAAGATATGGAGGTCCTTGGTGGTGGAGTGGGACTATAAATACAAGAGAGACAGAGAGAGAGAGAGAGAGAGAGAGAGAGAGAGAGAGAGAGAGAGAGAGAAATTGAGATGCTCATGATCTCATGATGTCTCCTACACATAATCAGCCCATCAGCATTCTTCTTTAAAAATTATAGTTTACTCAGATAAATTTTGCCATTCAATTACAAGGCACACTGAATTCTTTTGACAGCATAAAACTGGCTTGGGAAGGAGGAAAATTTTGGTCCTGGCAACATTGCAGATCTATGTTCTTTGCCTGAGTCTAGATATGCAAAATCATAATTACAGTTGGGTAATATTTGCCATCTTAATTATGGATGTCCTTGATTACCTTTCTCCATGTCCCTTTGTATCTTTGCCTCAGTGCCTCAGTCACAACAGATGACTTTAGTGCCTACTCTGTAGTGAATATCTCTTTGCTCAGACTTAATTTATTCACCTTCCTTATCCCCTTACTGCTTACTTATCCCCTGTGCATTTTTGTGGTATCTTATCAAACGATTAGACATAAAATATCTCACTTTCTGTAGGCCTCCCTTGTCAAACTTCAATGCCTCCTGAATATTTCTACATTCACAGGAGAAAGAGTCCCTCCTATTAAGCAGGATAACACCATCAATCTGGTCACATAATCCCTCTTTCTTCTCCATAATCTTTGTTCATTTATCTCCTTTACTCTCTGGCTTCTCCCCCTTTATCCACAGACATGCTCAAGTCTCTTTCATCCTAAAAAATAAAACAAAGTTCTCTATGACCTATTGCCTTTCATTTTTTTTTTTTAACTAAAAATGTTGAATTTTACCCAACGCTTAAGAAATCCCCTCACTATTTTGTGTTTGGTTAACTGAGCTGCTGGTGAGGAACCACCCCTCCCCATATGTCTTATCAGGCCTGAGATAAGAGTTTCCTATGACAAGACCAGACACAGTCCCTGCAAATTCCCATTATTTGATTCAGATGGTTAGTTGAACTGCTTGCCCTCACTGATCAATCAGAATAAAACGCCTGTTACCAAACTTTGGTTAAACTTCTCTCCTTCCTTTATGCCCCTGAACTTGGGCCCACCCTCAGCCTTGAGCCAGCACACAACCCCTGCTAAGGACAGGCTGGACTGAGAGGACAACATTCTCTGATCTTCTGTCCCATCCTGCCACCGTTTCATCCCACTGCTCCAAACCTGGTTTATTCTAGACTTGTGTACTCCTTTCTAAAAAAAAAAAAGTCCCTTTTCCCTAACTCTTCAGATGCTTGTAGAGCTTTTTTGTTTCAATTGTAGTTTACATTCAATATTATTTTATATTAATTTCAGGTGAATATAGCACAGTGATGAGACATAATTTACAAAGAGATTCCCCCTGATAACTCTAGTACCCACCTGGCACCATGCGTAGTTATTACAATATTATTAACTATATTCCCTATGCTGTAATTTACATCCTGGTGACTGTTTTGTAACTACTGATTTGTACCTCTTAATCCCTTCATCTTTCTTACCTATCCCCCAAAACCCTTCCATCTGACAACTACCAGTATGTTCTCTGTTATCTATGAGTTTGTTTCTGTTTTGTTTGTTCATTTATTTTGTTCTTTAGATTCCAAATAGAAGTGAAATCACGTGGTGTCTGTCTTTCTCTGTCTGATTTATTTCACTTAAGGGGTGCTTATAGATCTTAAGATCACAATATTCTCCCTGTCACAGTAGTCCCTGTTCCATGCCCCCACCCTGCAATATTTACTTTTTAATCAAAGTCTCTCCTTACTTATTTCATATTTTATATTTTACAATTCAGTCTTTTGAAAAGGGGGTCTAGTATTGTTGCCTCTTTCTTCACCTAATGTGCAATATTTACCTATAGTTGCCTGACACAATTAGCAAAGCAGGTCACCATGGGGAAAAATAGTTTTTTATATTTCAAAGAAAAACACCAAACTATTCATGCTGAGAAAACTTATTATTTTTTTAAAATTATGTTTAGAGAGTCACAATAACCTTTTTTTTGCTTAGGGATCTAGATTTTTTTTTTTTGGTCTTTTTCAACTCATTCTCTCTCCAGCCATTGCTATAGCTCCCTCAGTTACTTGACGCCAACACAAAGGCATCTAAGTTTATCCTGAAATGACTTTTGTATTGACTAATATAATGGCGACTTTTTTGCCTTTATCTTTTTCTTCATATCTAGTCATTCTTAACTGTTGACTTTCATTTTAAATTAATTCTCCTTGTTTTTGGAACTCCACTTCTAATTTTCTTCTAGTGCAGTGGTTTTCAACCTGTGGGTCGAGACCCCTTTGGGGGTTGAATGACCCTTTCACAGGGGTCGCCGGGTACTCGTATGTGGGCGTATCTGCATGTGGGCCTGAAGACGGATAGAGGAGCGGTGTCTTGGTTCCTAAGACCATTGAAAATATGTGTTTTCCGATGGTCTTAGGCGACCCCTGTGAAAGGTTGAGAATCGCTGTTCTAGTGTCTTCACATAGAATTTTTATTGCCAAGTGTTTTTTCTTTAATTTCATCTTACAATTTTGATATTTTCCTGAGTTTCTTTCCTAGTTGTCTCTAATTTTCACTCTATTACATTCTTCCTTGTTGACCATATCTATTATTTGAATTTGTTTTCTGTTTATACACTAATGACTTTTTCCTATTTTCTCCATCAGATCTCTGCTTAATTCTAAATCATATGCCCAAATGCTTACTGGTTATCTCTATACCTGAGAGCCCACAGGTATATCAAACACAGAATATTCAACATTTCCAAACCTCAACTCAATTGTGTTCCTTCTTTTGGATTCCTAAATTGTTTGATTAGCGGTATCACCTATATTCCTAAGCTAGAAGCATAAGATTCTTCCCTTTTCTTCACTGAATACTTGTATCTAATTCATCAAGAAGCAACTACCAAGACTAACTCACAGGTCCTCATAGATATTTTTCAACCCATCTCCTCTTTCCTTGCCTACCACCATATTTCTAGATCTGACTTTATCTGCTTCCAGAATTATTGCAATGGCTTCTTGTTTCTCACACCTCCAGGTTCCTCCAATTCGTCTTTCCCCTAGGGAAAACATCTAATCATACTATGCCCATGCATATCATTCTGCAGTTCACATCGCCTAAAAGGTCATACCTCAAATCTAGCACAGCCTTCGTTACCTGACCCCTGCAACCTTTCCAATTAATTCAACCACCACTCTAGACACATCGTGTACGTGCCAATACCATCAAACTGCTTATAGTTACTGTTACTTTCATGCCTTTGCCCATGCTATTTCTTTTTCCTGAACTGTCCTTTTCTTTCTACATTTACATAACTCTTATGTTTCCAGGTTCACTTTGGCTCCAGGAAGTTCTCCTGGGAATTTCCAGCCTTGAGATCTGTTTAAACTCTCTCAAAACCACTCTGGTATCTATAGACACCTCTGTCTATCTCCATTATTATTCTTACCATATTTTTTTTAAAGATTCCATTAAAGTGTCTGCATTCTTCACTAATCTATAAGATAAAGACCGTGTCTTATATCTTATTTTGTACCTGGGATTCAGCACATACTATGCATTACATAAGTGTTTGTGGAATTGCTAGTGGATCTTTGTATTGGTTATGAAGATAGTCAAGATGACTACACGTGAACATAAAATCTAATTTGTAGCTATGAGTTTTGATAAAAATAGTAACATATTTTGCTATTGGAACTTGAAAAGTTACAAGAATTTGAAAAAAAAGAAATGTGCAATAATAGCAAATATATACATATATATGCTTAAAAGACAGAAATGATAGCAAAATGTTCTCCGTGGTTTTTCTCATGTGCTAATGTTGCGGGATTATGTAATTTAGAGGAGCATGATAGAGCATTGTTTCAGTTTTCCTTATTTTTCACAGGGAACATTGGTCTTTTTCATTGTTAGAAAAATTTTACATATGCACACATCCATATATATCTTTATGTGTGTATATCCTTTCTCATAAAAGATATAGAAAAATCTATTACACGTATTTTTAAGTATCTTAGTGGATATTTTCCATGAGTATATTATTATTTGGATATAAAATGCTCTAAAAATTCTTTTAATTCTATTTTTTAAATTATTTATCAAGGTTTTCCTGTGTGGATGGAAAAAGGTGTTCTATGGAAATTAACCTCATAGGGTGATCTGGTCAGAAATTCCTAGCTGGGCAGGTGTATAAGAATTTAAAAGGAAAAAGGCCTGCCTGGGGTCATATGATTGGATTCATGGCTTAGGTATGCACTTACTCTCTGGAGGATTGGCTACCCACCAGGCATGTAAGGAACAAGATGTGGAGTTGGCTCAAGGTCTTCGAGACTGGGCTGAGCTCCAAGGACTAGTCCTAATCAGTGCCACGGGCTAGCCCCGGCTCCTGGCCAGATCAGGGGCTGGTCCCATGTATTGCTTACACATACGCCATTTGGCTCTAAGCAGCTTTTGTTAGAAAACCCTTAAGAAGCCCCAGGAGGCAGGGATGAGCAGCAGCTCTTCCTCAACAGATTCCACTGTGTCATTACTCTGAGAAATGCCCATGATGCTCTAATTCCGGTGCTGAACTGCCTGTGATGCTCAGATTCTGGTGCTGAATTGGATAAAGGGGCCCTGGTGGTATGATGTAACTATTTTTCTATTTCCCTTGCGACTATTTACTTTCTATTTTCCTTAGCTTTTTCCCTGTTAATAATAAACCTCTTATCTACCCCAAGTGGCTTGTGGTGGTGTGTCTTGCGCATAGAACCCCAAAATAGAACTCAGTCTGTGCACAGCTATCGATATAGATTAATTATCGATACAGCAGGTCATGGTGGGTAGTCACACCCCAGGCCTATAACTTCTCTAGTGAAGGTTTTAAGGTTTAAGCTGTCCATCGTGCTTGTTCATCTAGGTTAACACACCTAGATGTGTTGAAATGCCAAAAGTGATACCCCTGAAAAGGGGTATTAATCCTCAAGAGAGCACATCATCTTGTTAACTATCCTGTAATCCTGCCCCCGCTTTACTTTTTTCCCACCCCCATGTAATCTTCCTTACATTCCCTCTTTAATTTCAAATGCGTATTAAGAAGCTGTAAAACTGTTACTCTCCTGAGCATTTGAGATCTTGCTCCCTGGCATATGTTGTCAGTTTGTCCCAAATAAACTCAAACATTCTCTACAGGTTTGGATGTTCCCTAGGTTGACACCCACTATATTTCATTACTGTAGTTGGTTCTGAAAATCTACAAAAGCCATTAAGACAACAAAGACATTATCTGACGTTTGTATATCTCAAACACTCATTCAGTCAAAAAAAAAAAATCTTTACCTTAAATATACTAAACTTTAAATACCATTTAGAAAACACATTTATTTTATGCATCTAACCATAAAGCTTTAGAATAAGACTCTCCTTAAGTGAAATAGATTTATGGGTTAAAGGTTCAGTTAGATTCTATGGAATTCTGACATTACTGATTTGTTCTGAGTATAATTACTTTGAGGCAGTTATACAGGCAACTGTTGATAACTATTTTACAATCTTCTTAATTTTTTTACTCCAATCAGTTGTATTTGTTTACTGTCTCTCTCAGCAGCCTATGCACACTAATGTCTTTGTTATTTACTTTCACACTGAGCACTGCTATTTTCCTTCTGGCGATGTCAAAGTATTTTCATGCAGTCAATTTTGTTGGAAAGAATTCTATTAATTCTCTTAAATATGACGTCCTTCTGTTTGATACTTGCTATAAGGCTGACTACTTCTACATACAAGCAAAATGCTTTATGCTCCAGGGTCTGAGACATAGACTTACGGAGTTTTCTCTAAAAAGTTCAGGGTTTAATCTTTCGCATAGTGTTTCCAATCATGGAGTTCCTTCTTATCAGTTTCAGAGGTCAAGTTTCCTGCAGTCTTAGCAATTTTTCAGACATTTTATTTTTAGGGTATTTTCTTCCTCAGAGAAGCTCTAATGCATATCCTCTCCTCAAGCTATCTTTTCCTACCAAAAAATAATACACAGCACCATAATCCATATAAGAACTTTCCCCAACCTGCTCGATTTAAGTATGACTTAGTGTTCAACATTTTTTTTTCCCCTAGAATTAGGACTTTCTAGCTAAAGTCTTGTCTTCAAATGGAATTTTATAACAGCCTATCACAAAACTCTTTAATTTTTTATGTGTTGTAATTTAGTATTTTCTAGAATTTCAGTATAAAGCTGTTTAATATTTTAGGATTCTAAGCATAAAAGCATTTGATATAATATAGCCCTTCTGGTAATTCTAATAAGCAACACCCTTTAACGAGGTCTAAGAATCAAAATAAAGCAAGAAGTTCCAAGCATGTCTATGGTGTTCTAACATTTCCCTTTTAAAAAAGATGTGCTTTATGAGATACTCAGTCAAATTCCAATTAATTGGAATGTGGCATTTTAATTTAATGGGACTTTCTTAGGTTAACTGAGTAGTAAACAAGCAAATGAAAACTTCATTGTTTCAGTCTTTTTTCTCTTAGAAAACGTTTCTTAACAGTGTTTTTTCTTTGCTTATATGAGCTTAACTTATGGTAAAATATAAATTAATTGACTGATGATTTAGAATCTTGCAATGGTAGATGAAGAAGTGTAAACAGAAGTAATGAAGTATAAAGAGAGGTTCAGCTAAATCTGAACTGGATCAAGCTATGTCCTTATTTTGTAATTACAAAAAAATAAATAAAGTCTCTTTAATATGATTTTCCCTTGTCATCTGCCACATTTTCCACAGACGTCTAGAATTGACTGCTCGCTGGCTGGCTGGTTTGAGCTTTTGGATGGATGTGTGTGTGTGTGTGTGTGTGTGTGTGTGTGTGTGTGTGTGTGTGTGTTTTGTTTTTTTTTGTTTTTTATTTGTGTGTATACAGTGTTTTTAAAATTGTAACATATAAAATACAAAAAATGTGTGAAAATTCAGATTTTTTTAGTCTCATTTCTCTAGAAAGTAGCTTCATAAGAACAAGGAACTTCTCTGTTATGTTTTACTGTTAAATCCACAATATTTAGAACAATGCTTAGGATACACTGAATGACTAAGAAATTTTGAGTTTGCAACTCTTGCATAAGAAGTTACAAGATAGGGTAAAAAAATATCTAAATAATTGAGTCTTTCAGTGTGTTCCCTTCTGACTGAGGTACTAAACACTCTTTTCTTATTACCAGGTAAGTTAAAAATAAAACAAAACACTATGAATGATTATTTAAAATGTATTTATAAGTTGGATATATGTAAACAAAAATAAGGCTTTCTCTCCTAAATGTGCTAATTTTGCTTGTGCTAAATACTATAAGTAACACAACGATGAACAAGCAATGGAATCTTCTATCCAGTTGCTTACAGTGTAGTAAGATAGAGAATATGTAAAGGAATAAAATTTTGAGGAGAGACAACATACTTTGGACAAAATGCATTACAAATTCAAGACGACACCAATTCTAATGCACTGAAGCAAAACTAGTTTAATATAAAAAATTTAATAATGAAATTTTAAAAAAGATTATATAGCAGGTTTTCTCACTGGTTCATTCCAAAGGTGGTACCTCTCTCTAACTTTTTCTCAGATCTAAAAAGAAATAATATGTATTTTAATTTTCTAGAGTCTAAGTAAGGGATTCAAGAACAGAGCATGGAGACTAAAGGCAGTCTGCTGGAAGTATGAAGCAAGCTGCTGCAAATCCTTAGATCATCAAAATAAGAACTGATATTCTTTTAGTGTACATGAATTGAACAAAATGTCAAAGCTTTGAAACTCAAATACAAGTTTTGATAAAATTGTCTTTCTTAGAAGAAAGAACCATGGTCGAGGAAAGGTCAATATGGCCCATTTCATATGTAGAGTCCGCATCGTCTACAAATATTAAAAGCAGTGGAAAACTACATTCATATAGTAGCTAAGGGGAGATCGGGATTTTTCAAGAGCTTTGATTCTTAACTTTTTAAAGGATCATAAAACCACTGAGAATTTAATGCAAGTATGGACATTCTCCTCAGTTGAAAAAGAATGATCATTTACAATTTTATACCTTTTTTGGAGGTTCATAACCCTCTGAAAGCTTAGACTCTCCTATAGGTATCTATTCTAGAATATTGTTCTTAATTAATGATACCAATGCACATTTTTAACCATTTTTTTTATACTTGTATAAAATTTTAATTGTTCTGTAATTCATACCTATACAGACTGGTGGGCTGGGCTGCCAGAAGTATCGATTTTCTACCTGAATGCAGGTTATTCTTTCCTCTCCTTGAAGCTCATAGCCTGGGTCACATTGAAAAACAACGGTGTCCCCAGGTTCTCGTCCATCCCCATTTCGAGTTCCATTCATGGGAACGCCTGGATCACGACACGCAGTGGCAACAGAGCCTGTCAAAAGACAGAAACAAATGTTTAGTCTTGATGGTACCAAAGTCAATCCTGAATTCCAGACCTTACTGTTTAGAACCTTCCATATATTGATGTGCTATTAGAAAATTAACTTTAAAAACACTTGGGTGATTTTAAATGCCTGCACGATAAATACTTTAAAAATTGTTTTGTTCTTGTTAAACAATTTATGTGCTGACTTATTTCAAGGAGTGGTATGACATTTTAGTAGCTAAATAATAGATTTACTCAAAAATAGTAGATGCTCTGAGACAAACACTGTGACCAGGATAAAAAGAAAGCTGCAGACTGGGAGAACATGTTGGCATTGGGTGCATTCCACAAAGAACTTGTATCTAGAATACATAAATAACTCTTAAAACTCAGCTGCATAAAAAGAAGAAAAAAAAACAATCCAATTACAGAATAAGCAAAAAATGTTTCAATGAAGAGGATACCAGATGACACATGAAAAGGTGTTCAACATCATTAGCCATTAGGGGAATGCAAATGAAAATCAAAATGAGCTAGCAATACATACCTATCAGATTGGCTAAAATAAAAAAGTAAATAAACAAACAAATATGGTAACACCAAATGCTGACAAGATTCTGAAGAAAACAAAATTACTCACACATTGCTGGTGATCATGTTAGATGGTACAGCCACTCTGGAAAGAAGTATGGCAGTTTCTTGCAAAACTAAACATGGGCTTACCATGCAACCCAATAGTTGCACTCTTCACACCCCAGAAAAATGGAAACTTACGTTCACATAAAAACCTGAACACAGATGCTCATAGTAGCTTTATTTGTAACAGTTGAAAACTAGGAACACAAATACCTTTCACAAGGTGAATGATTACACTGACTGTGGTAAGTTCACATCATAAGAATATTACTCAGCCATAAAAATACAAAACAATGATACATATGACAACTTGGATGAATCTGAAGGGAATTATGCTGGGTGAAAAAATACAGTTTTAAAAGGGTACATACATACTGTTTGACTTTACGTATGTAACTTTCTTGAAGGGACAAAATTATGAGGTTGGAAAACAGAGCAGTGGTTATCAGAGGTTGTAGGGGGAGGGGATGGAAGGAGGTGACTGGCTAAAAAGAGTAACGTGAGGGATCCTTGTGGTGGAACTGCACTGTAACTTGACTGCAGGGGTTGTGGTCATACAAACCTACACTGAGCTACATAAACACAAATACACAAATAAGTATATGTAAAACTAGTAAAATCTGAATAAGATTGG